TTTTGAACTAAACAGGTAGATGGTTGTAGCTGCATATTTTATATTTCAAAACGCATGTTTATTAACCAGTTCGCCGGTAAAATCTATTCTAAAAATATTTATTTATTTACATAATCCCGCCGTAGACAGACCGCGTGTAGCGACACCTGCAATCTGCGCTTTCAAATCACCTCCACGACGTTATGCCCTGAATCACGCTAACGCAGTTATTCTGGCCTCTGAGGATATATAGAACTTCTCGATCTCAGCCACAGGGGTCAATCAGTAGACTGGTTGTGGTCCTCCACATACGGATCTCCTTGCTACGGTCCTGACATACCCAGCTTCATCCATTTGACATGAAAGTGATCACCTACTTGCGTATTAGAAAAACAGATACAGAAATCTTAGACCCAGACTAGAAAGGTTGTAGCGCCGTTGGTATATATCACTACATAGTATAAAACAAAGTCGCTTTTTCTGTCCCTATATCCCTATGTATGCTTAAATCTTTAAAACTACGCAACGGATTTTGATGCGGTTTTTTTAATAGATAGAGTGATTGAAGAGGAAGATTTATATGTATAATTACATCCATTAAATAGTGTTGTTATTTTTGAGGTTTCTAATGTGATGTCGTAAATAATTAGGTACATTTTTTCCGCTTACATTGCAAACGCAAGCTTAACCCTACGAGATTTTGAAAAGGTCTACAGAAAACTCCGCGATGGTATATGTACTCTGTAACTCTTATGGATATCCCACAATATTTTTTTTTGTCATTTACTTTTTACGACAAATAATGGCTCATTTTCGAAGCGATTTTAACCAATACAGCATTAATCCTTATCCAATTAAATACCTTAAATACATTGTTGATTTAATATAGATCTATATGGCCCTTTACAGCATATGATTTAAATGAATATTTTCGGAGGCCGCGGTCTCCCTATAGCGCTTTTAATTTAGTATCAGCATTGCACCCGTGCGAAGCCGGGGCGGCTCGCTAGTATACAATTTTTTTTCGTTAGAGCTTCGTGTATTGTTTTTTACAGATAAGCTGATACCAAGACAAGGCGCCATAACCGAACCGACAAATGACAAATAACTTCAAAAATTAAAGTACACGAATACCAACATAAAATAAAAATGTCAAAAATTTAAATTAAGGATTAAAATATTCAAATTTAGTGCGCGTCCCGCTCGCGCTCGTAGCGTCATAACTGCCTGCGCCTGCGTCGCCAGAGCCTGTAGAACATTTTACGAGTATGGAGAGGACTTTTTATACCTGTTATAATTTTCAGTTGGACTAAAAATGTACTATTTTCAATAACATGACAAAGATCGTTAATTATCATTTTTTATAGAACAATAAAGGACAAGTTTTAATTTATTTTATTATTATTAATTACTTAAGATGTCATTTGGAACATGGTGTAATGGTTGCAGATCCTTACAAACGTTGTGTAAATAAAAAAATTGGCGATTAGAAAGAGTGGCGGAGAGTTCATTGCCAGTTCTTCTCTTCCGTTCTACGCCCTTGATTTGAGAACTGGCACTAAATGTAAAGTTAGAAGCATTTCATATACAATTCTTTCTTGACGTTCATAAGTGTACATTGTGTTACCTATATGATTGAATGATTTTTGACTTTTGACGAGGAGACTCATCTGATGCTGCTGTCTTCTGACACGCAAGTGCGTTGCGGGCCTTTAAATATTTTAAATTGTAGAACAACTTATTTTCTATATATACGCCTCTGTTTCATTAAAATATTGATTCATTGGGAAGCAAAGCTTAGACCCCCGGGCTTATAATTTTATCATACATAGTTATTATAATTTATCTAGTATTATGATAATTAATGGATTGGAAAATTGGAGGATGTATTTCACTCCGTCGGAGATCGTGTAATGTTAAACATAATGACATGTACTTAATGTAATCATGATAATGTAAATACAGGCAATTTTTATGATAATTTTAAAGGATTGTTAATGCCAAACATTTTAACTATACAGTAACAAACAATACTACTTTTCTATCCATTGCTTAAACTAAAAAAAGCCTCCTCCACACAGATCACGTTACCCGAATACTATAAATTAATGGTCAACGCAAGAAATTTTAAATATTTGAAAGGGGCATTTAGAAAAAATCAAAAGTCCCAGGATAATATATTACATAAAATAAATAATACAATCATAAAGTCGTTATAAATGTAGTGTTTATAAAACGTAATCGTGGTTTTATGGTTCATATATTTGTGGTTGTGACCCATCAGCCAGACAGGGCTATTATGGTTCTGGTGAAGGACAATTTGTATTAATTAGATGGGACTAAACAAATATTTAGTTTGGAATTCTAGGTAACAAGGTAGATATATCATAGGGTAAGCTTTGACAGCGCTAAGTATCACTTCTATTTGTCAAAAACACATTGGACATATCTAGTTCGTATGTAATCACTTCAGACACGTAACCTTACTTTGTGACTCAAAAATGTATTCGGTAAAACACTAGTTATTCAAGGTAAATCTCGACACTGAATCGGAAGGCCTGCAATCACTTTGATTAGTGATTAGTGATTAGGAGAAAACAAGTGTGGACGGCGACTGATTAGTTGGCTGCGTAGTAAAGTGATTAAAAGCGTGTTCTATTTTTTTGCGAGTGAACTGCGAGTAGTGACGTCGCGTCCGCCCTCCCTTCCCCCTCACTCGTAGCGTGCCTGCCAAACTATTGACAACTGAATTTACTTAACAAAACCACTAAACAATAATTGGACACTACTTGCACTACACACCTGCACTAATCAATGTCAATTACTAATCACTTGCACTCGCACTAATCAAAGTGAATACAGGCCTTGAGAGATTCAGAGAGTAACGCGACTTAGGACTAAGTGCGACTCTTGTATCATGTATGTCAAAAATTAATTGGGTTTTGAGGTACGAAAGTCTTAATATCGTTCTTAAATGTGTAAAGATCGCGCCAAATTTCGACTTAAAACTTCTCCAATCAACAGATCCCTATATAGATAATATATTCGATAGACTATCAACAATTTCTGCCACAGAGTGTGGTATATTGGTGGTGGTTATAATCGGTTATTCAATTTATAGTAAGGTTCTTACATGGAATGCCCCAGTGGAAAGAGAAAGGAGAGGACACGCCAACAGAAACCTGGGAAGATGAAATAAAAGAGATAGCGATAAATGATTGTAAAGTTAGTAGCGAGGATAATTTGGCGGAGACATTCAATTCGTCGGAGTTCGTGTACTTATAAATATAATAACACTAGCTGCCCCCGCGAACTTCGTTTCTTCTTCATGTGATTTTACTTAGCCTACCTTTTTAGTACATACCAACATGGAACATTTTGCTATGCTACCCCAGAGACTGTTCATGAAAACTTTTTAGGTTTTTCTGTGAATTGTCTCTAAATAAACCTCAGAGATCAAGTCATAAGATTTTAATTAACAAATAAAAAATAGGGGTTGATCGTAGAGGGATGAAAAATAAGGGTTGTATGTATTTTTGTATGCTGTATCATAAAAAATACAAAAAAAATATCTCAAAATTAAAAATAAAAATTTGGGTGGACCGCCCTTGACATTAAAGGGTTTGAAAGATAGATAGTAGCCGATTCTTAGACTTACTGAATATGCATAAAACATTTCATAAGAATCGGTCGAGCCGTTTCGGAGGAGTATGGGAACGAACATTGTGACACGAGAATTTTATATGTTAGATAGACTTAATGTTACTAAGGGTCTGTTTCACAATGTACAGATAAGTTCTACATAAGTTCTAAATTAGCTATTTATTACTTATTGGTAGGATAAACAATATTGTTGCGTTTCACGACTGTCAGATAGCGCTATTCGTCACATAAAGTCCATCATAAGCTATGAGTCCGATGAATGTCAAATAGCCCAATTTATCTTCCAAATAATTTATGTGTTACATAGCTATTTGGTACTTTATACATACATTGTGAAACAGACCCTTATTATGATACTCAAATGACTATGCAATATAAGTATTTGTTTTTTTAATATAGTACCAAAATTAGTATCCAGGTATTTCTGATAATGACAGGTCATAATTCTCACCCCCGTGCCTGCTACAGACAGGCGGACCTTTGTGCGCTAATACTGTATCGGTGGAGTCTGGCTGAGACGTACCCCATACAATTTATGCGATAATAACGCTTTTCCGATTAGACACTTTTTTCGGAACACAACTAGAACTAAATATATATTAAAACCGTGCATGGACTGTTAGGGAGCGTTCAAGTATTACGTAACGCAATTTTTGGAGATTATTGACATCCCCCCCCACGTAACTCGCCGTAACGTTATTCAGTACCCAAGTACAGTACTGCACCCAAGTATAGTAAAACGTTTCGTGACCACCTAGTGACTCTTAAGTTACTATTATGTGGTGTAAGTCGAAAAAAATATTACCAATAACGCGTAATTTAATCCCCGCCCCGCATCGTAACGTTTTACAAAAAGTTTCTACAATTTACCTACCAAATTAATACGACATTAATTAACTTACTAACTGAGTTCAATGTTCGCTGCTCCAATTGGCCTGAAGAGGTCAAGTTGTTACAATGAACCTACAACTAAAAACCTTAAAAAATGAAATATAATAACTGAAATATAAAAAAGAAGTCCCTTTTTTTTAACGGTTATTGGTATATAAATAAATGTATTTCAGTAAAATATACTTTGTAGTAAAATCTAAAATCTAACAATTAACGAATAAACAAAGTTTTTTAATATATATATAATATATAATATTATGTAGCTAAGAGTAGAGAGACATACTCTTAAAACAAATTTGAAGTTTAATTAGAAATAAATATTTACCCGTTGTTTTTAATAACAAACGCAATCTTATACAAATACTCTCGCTGAAAGCAAAAGCGAGGTGAAGGTGAGTCGGTGAGGGCAAGATGGTATTGATTGCCACGCCCCCCGCGGCCCGTTGCCTAGTAACCGAATTCCCGGAATGCCTTTAGTTCAAAAGGTTAGGATATATTCTACAGGAACCGTCTTGACAGTTGAGGTTACTGAAATTTTTTCGTTATCTTGACAACACGTGACGACGTGATTACACGTTCTTAAGAGCTAAATTCAAAATCAGTTATTCATAGGTAACACAATGTTTAACAAACGTCATAAAAGAAATACATATTAAATGCTTCTTAATTTACATTTACTGCCAGTTGTCAAATCAAGGACTTAGAACGGACGAGAAGAACTGGCAATAAACTCTCCGCCACTCTTTTTAATTGGGATGTTTTTTGTTTTACAAGAACTAAACAGTGGTAAGTGGAGAAATAGTAAACAAAATGGGAGTGTATTCCCTTTAATAGAGGCTGTAAGTAGTGTTATTGGACATTTTATGTTAAATATCCTTATTAGTAAATAATAATATTAAATTACTTATCAAGATTATTATATATATTACATATATTGTTATGTCTTTGTGCAGAGACAATGTAATAAAGATAAAAAAGTAGTATTGTCTTTGATTGACATAACCTTTACACATTTAAAGATTAAACTTTTTACCGGATTAAAGTTGTGTATTATTATAAATTTACAATTATTTAACGTTATTTTAAAAATTATGCTGACGTGGTCAGCAAGGAAAAATCTGGAGCGGACTATATGTTTCCAGCGGATTTCAGCGTCTCTCTTTTACAGTGTATAGTTTTGAGGACGAGGAACCATCTGGTTGGTAAACGGCTACGTGATCCTTAATTCTGTGTTACCACGATCAGTTTCTCTCAAGTTCTTATCGCCTCTGCGCATTGGCCGAAATAGTAATAATGTAATGACGCGTAGCAAATAAAACTTATTAAGTATAACTGCCACGCCGGTTCTCCATCCGCACAACTTTATATCCTACGAACGAGAATAAGGGTACCACGCAATTTTAAAGCGATTTAAATGATTGAATCAATAATAAGAATCTACCTTGGAACTCAGATTGTATCTGTTTAATCGCTTTGTCAGAAATCAGCTCTCTCTAATGATAGAATTCATTGCTGCTGGGGTCCAGTATGGCCCGAGGATGTCATGATGCCATCGTGTTTTGTGCTTCTATCCTCTGGTTACTCTTGGATACCACAGGGTTACCTGTTTGCTCCATTTATCACCTTTGGTTCAGTATGGCCTCAAGGTCCGGCTGTCATCTTGCCATCGTCTTTTGTGCCCCTATCATCTGCTCACTCTAGGATACCACAGAATTACCTGTTTACTGCATCCAACTTTGCTTATCACCGTGTGGCCTGTCCATCTCAATTTTATGAGGTAGACCACTAGATTAGCGCGTTCATAAAAACCTCTTTAGATGTTCAGCCCCAAATTCCCCATTATACTGTATAATCGAATTAAAACGATCCGTTTTTGGTGTATTTGAAATGCCGAAAACAGTGTTATTTATGTTCACATTATCTCAAACGGGGATCTCGTCTTTTGCCGCTAGTTTTTGTCACCGAAGAAAAAACGCGGCGATGCCTTTTTGACTTGCGATTTTTATCTTTATGGTATCATTGGTAAACTGTTAACCGTTTCAATCGGCAAATAAATAGTTTAAGTATTAATCCTTAAATTAAAGAGTACTTTGTTGGGCCTAAAACCCCCTGTGGGCGTACTCCACCGGGACGCTTAGCACTCAGTAGTAGACTCACAGGCTTCCCTTCGTATTTTGGTTGCTACCCTGTGCTCTATAACAACTTACTTAGTCTTTCAAGAAAAGAGAGATTTTTAAAAGACCGGCAATGAACTTGTGAACCCTCAATGTGAGTGTCTATGGGCGGCGGTATCACTTAACATCAGAGTGTCTCCTGCCCGTTTGCCCCCTCTTTGTAAATAAAATTAATAATACATTTTCGGTGTAATTATTAAAACAGTATGGAGAACTGGATATATTATAATATATACAATACTATGTAACGTGAAAAAATATATTATAACTAACTTATTAAGCAGTTATCAAGGGCGTGGAAAGAATTGGCAAACCACTCTCCGTCACACATTATAATTACGATACTATAAATGTTTATTGATATTATCACGCCGGATCTCCACCTTCTACAGTCTTGCTTCAGCCACTTTCATTTCATTCACCATGCATTGAGAATAACAAAAAAGTATTTTAATAATGGATAAATAGAAAACTAAAATAATTTAAAAAGTTTGGTCCCTGTGGCAGTGTGCCGGAATTTCCTGTATTACGATATAATAATAATAATAAGCCTTCTTATTTCCTGTTTTACAATAGTTGGTAGTTGCTATATTACAGTAAGTTAGCTTAGATTATGTTAGTAATAAATATATATATATATTATTTATTTATGAATTATCAGGAACCCCGGTTTGGGTAAAGGCCTCCTCCAAAGATGCCCATTTTTGTCGGTCCTGTGCTATGCAGTACCAGTTTCTACCAGCTGATCATTTCAGATCATCTTTCCAGCTGTCTAAGGGTCTCCCCTTGCACCTCTTGCCTGGTGATTCTTTCCATTGGGTAACTCGTTTGGTACATTTTCAGCTAGGCATTCTTGCTATATGCCCAGCAAAAGTTAAAGCGTTTGTAACTTTAGTGACGGCTCTTATCTTTGTGTGTCTTATTTTGTCCATTCTCTTTATGTTCAACATGCTTCGCTCTAAACCTCTTTGACATACATTGATTTTATTCACAGCTTGTGTAGTATAGCGATACACGAGCGAGAAAAGCCTCTTTGGGGTCACAGGTACCGTCTCCCACATAAATCTTGAATTGACCATTTGTTATCTATGGGCGAAAAACTATATAACATTATCCCCCGTTCGTTCTAATGAAAACAATTCGAAGGGTTATGCGTTATACAACATAAAACATCCGTGCGACTTCAATACAAAAAGTCCCCTAGGGATTTGTGTGCTGCGATATTGCGGGCTACTAGTTAGCTGTTGATTCGTAAGTTCTAATATCATATTCGCGTGTAAAAAATTAGATTATGAGAAATCTGATATAATTTAATAATAACCACAGGGGCCGTTCAAGTATAATCACTATAGGGGGAGGGGGGTCTTTGATTTTCTTATTTGGTAATTGCGTCAACAGTAATTATTTACTTTTTTAAACATATTCCCACATTGTCTATGCTTGAAAACGAAATGCATTGTTGAGGATTCCTACAAAAAATTAATACGTTTATGTACTATTATTTTTGAGAGTTTTGCTTACTGCTTTGATGACAAGAGGGGGGGAATTGCAGTAAATCTGCTTACGTAATACTTGATCTATCCATCAATATATATAAATCTGCTACGTATTACACGCTGGAAGCGACAATTTTCATAGAAGGGACTCGAGCAACAGTGGAAGTGATACTGAATTTAAAAGGAATTCCAAATCAACCCGTTGTATTTACGAGAAAATCTTCCAACGAAAAATCTGGTTCCAAAGACGGTTTTATTTTGAGCAACCAATGAATATGAACCAATTAAAAAGTTCAGCCTAAAAGTGGTAGGGCGATGCTTCGACCTGGGGCTGTCCAAGTGAATGTTGAGGATAAAGTTCTGCTGGTATCTTTGAAGCTGGACACGATTGACAAACAGCTAGCTGGTTGAAGAGGTTAAGTGGTACTATAATTATTATTATTAAGCCTATTGAACTCGTTTGTTTTGAGCAATGTCTGATGTTAAGCCCTTCATCTAAATGTCCGAGGTCTCGCCAGTGTATATTTAATTAACAGTAATCATTTAATTTTCCAATTATAATCCAGTTTAATTATTTGTCAACTTGATCATGTACGAACGTTTTAAACTCAAAGAAGTTAACGTGAAAATGGTCACATTGTTTGTGGTGATAGGTCAAAAGGCAATAACTTGGAATGGAGAGTACGACCACCAGAGAAGGGAAGAAGACATGAAAGAGATAGCGAGAAAAATTTAGGAGTCTATTTACGAGGCTTTCACCGAAGTTGTGTACTAATATTAAATATAATAACATAAAGTTAATGTAATTTATCGACTGTACTAGAATATAGGTTATTTTTATTTCATCCATCCATTTAACATGTGTGACGTTTGAGCATAGATAAAATAAAAAGATTTAATAGACAATCATAAAGCGATAAGATCTCACAATCCTAGATAAATTATTACACACCTATCATATTAAAATTATAACCTATAATTTAATTTTCAAAACGGGCAACAAAAACCTGACGTCGGGTGTTGTCAGTTGAAAAAAATGGTCGCATATTTGCTTTTTTTATGCTTGTATCTTCTAGGAAGATGTTTCATAATTCATAGTTTTTGATTTTTTGACTTTTTTTTCAATTAACTCTTTATGGCTTTGCTTTTGTGTATGTTTATAGGTTTGATAATTAATAAGTTTGATTAAAAATGCAGTAACAAAACGTTTGTTTAGCAATCGCTTGCGTCTGTAAATAAGGGATATTATTACATAATTAAAGTTAGTCGACACAAAAACAACGTAGTTTTTTTAATAGAGCAGGCGGCACATCTGATGTTAAGTGATGCCCATGTCAGAACGCTCTAAGAACCGAAGTCAAATTGGTTCGGAACTAGGTATGCTGACCAACCAATCTCTGTAAATTCTATCATCAAAAAATATATAACATCAACATAATTGACCTTCTTGCTAAATGTTCCTTTCGTTGTAATCCTGGAGTAGAGTCTTCTATACGTATCTATGGCTCGCTTATCTGCTATTTTGAATGGTCCAGTGAATAGGCTATCTCGCTCTTACAACTTGATTACTAACATTGATGAAAATATTGATATATTTCACAACAGTCTTCCAACTTACCGAGTTTGTTATGCTCTTAATGAGGTGTAAGTTTTCATGTAGTTTTAGCTATTTTGTTTTTTTTATTTTGTGGTTGCTTTTTTAAGTTATTTCCCGTGCTAGCTTGCTTATGTACTAATATAATAATAACTAATATAATTTTATGCATACACGTTGTTTTAGAACTTGTAAATAAATAAAACCGTTAAACGAAACAGGTGTTAATTTAACAAAAGGCTTTGCAGGTCCATGTTCAACAATAGCTGGATCTACATATAAGAATGCACACGAATGATTAATTGTGTTAAAAAAGAACCTTTTTCTAAAAATTGCCCTTTGTTTAAAGACGCCAAGTTGTCTGCAAAACGATTTTTGATGTGAAATCATTAATTATATTTTGTCTTACTCACGCATTCCATTTCACGTCGATATGATCTATAGATCCGATCTACAGGTCTATCGATCACGCGCTTCGTAAACTACATTTATTAATTTATTTGAGAATAGATTTTTTATATTAAAATTATTAACGCTGTGTAATAACGAATAATTAACTTCTAAAAAGTGGTTTAGTAACAGATATTAAATTTATTAATGTTCAGCACATCATACATTATGATATATCTACAGTATATGTTACAAGTTATTTTTTCTAAAATATATAATAACTATGGTAAATATAAATGTTACACAAAATAAAAATATAAATAAGTATCGCAATGCAGCGAGGAAATGCTGGCAAGCGTTAAAGGTACACTGCCACAGGAACCAACCTTTTTAAATTTGTTTTAATTTTCTTTTTACTAATTTTTAATTATTTTTATTATGTAGGTTAAGACAATTGTAAAAACTGTATATTCGATTGTTATGTATACATGAATCACTACATAGTATAAAACAAAGTCGCTTTTTCTGTCCCTATATCTCTATGTATGCTTAAATCTTTAAAACTACGCAACGGATTTTGATGCGGTTTTTTAATAGATAGAGTGATTGAAGAGGAAGGTTTATATGTATAATAACATCCATTAAATAGTGGAGAAATACTGTTATTTTTAAGGTTTCTAATGTAATGTCGTAAATAATTACATTTTTCCGCTTACATTGCAAACGCAGGCGGAACCCTACGAGATTTATCAAAATAATGTAATAAGTATTGTACACATTGAAAAGGTACATTTAGTATCAGCTTTGTACCCGTGCGAAGCCGGGGCGGGTCGCTAGTAAAGTAATAAAGTTAAAATATTTTTTTGCTTTTTGTTAAGCTAAGAAGATATAAATATATTGTAGCATTATGAGAATAAATACATACCTAATATTTAGTACGTCCGTAGGTTCGATCCCCAACTGTGTACCAATGTGCGCATTTAACACTCGTTCGTACGAAGGAAATCATCGTGAGGAAACCCTTAGACCCAAAAGGACGGCGTGTGTCAGGGCACAGGGTCGATATCACGATACAGTTTTTTTTTAAATGTAATAGGAGGCAAACGCTTAAGAGACTCGCCTGATGTTAATTGAC